CCCCCCCCCCCCCCCCTCTCCCCCCGGATTATCGTCCTAACAAGCGCCTTTTACCCACTTGGCCGCCCCTGTCCTACCAACTTGTCTTGGGACAGCACAGTGTCTCTGGCTCACGTTGTTGACCGAGGTCGCACAAAGAAGGAATGCATACCTTTTTACCTCGAACGTTGGCACAATACTCCGTACCTACATAGACATGGCCGTCTACCAGCCGTCTACCAGCCTACAAGCTTCGGGAAAGTACCGTGACGCCCACACATGTATGGGCTATCCGCCAGGCGTGGCATGCAATTGTACGCCGCCAGCCGGTCAACCCAGCCAGCCTTGAACAACCCTGCAGGAAGCCCTCGTGGTTGCTTTGATGCCGCAAATGATGACCTGTAACATTGTTTTTGCTGAGGAGGAATTCCCATGCTGCAGGACTCGTCTGGCCCCCCGCCCCCCCAGCTAGCGAGTATGCAACGGCCCAGCCTCTCTCCAATGAGAACGAGGGAATGATCAGCAACAAACCTGCAGATTTATTAGAAAATCAGCGCCACCACCTACGTTCTCCGCACCCTGAGGAATATTACTGCCCAGGCTTCTCCGCACAGCCAGTAGTAATGTGATGGTAACTGGGCGTGAGCTTGATGGGCGCCTTGATGGGCGCCCTCTTCCTACCAGCCCAGCAGAGAGAGGGAGGCATCGCCAGCTCCATCCATGTCCTCATCAACCCCGTTTGAGCTGCGACGCTGGGGCTGGCAAATCTCAGCAAGCAAGCGGGCCTTCTCTCCGCATTGTGAAAAAAATGGGCGATCGAATCCCCAACCCATTTTTTTTTCCCTCTCCAACCAATGTAGATATCTAATTCCAGCTTTGCAACTCCACTGAGCTGATTGTTAGAAGCTGTTTATTTGATGACACTAGGGTAGCGAACAAGCACGGTAGATTTGATGTACCCGTGCGGGGGCAGGCCAGAGAGGACGCACGCAGATTTGTACGAGGACGTGGTTTCTCAACGCAATTTACGACGGGGCCGATCGTCGTCCCAAGACACTACCCAGAAGAAGGACGAGAAATGCCCACGATGCCAGCGGCAGCGGCGGATGCGACGGGAGGCCCATTCTGGCAAGTGACCGAGGCAAGACACTAAGATGCCCTAACATAGTTTTTTTGTTATTTT